CGGCCCCCGCGCGCCAGACTCGCGCCGGTGCGCGCCGCTGCCGCCCACGAGTTCCCCGGCTGCGTACTCCTCCTGTCTCCCTCCCTCGACGGCTGCCATGGCAACGGTGCTCAGGCCCCGCCTCCGGAGGGGTTTGTTTGCTGCTTCTGCAGCTGTTGCTTCTGCCTGGCGCGGCGGCGCGGGCTGCACTTCTCTGCGCGCCTTGCTCCAGCTTTGCGCGCGCTTCCCGGGGCGGTTGGAGCTCCAACACTAGCGGTCCCTACGCGCTTTGGGCCGGATTGACGCTGACACAAAAGAGCACTCCTAGAGCTTCTCAGTACTTTGGGTTTTTGCATAGGAGCCGGGAATGCTACATACCGGCGATCTGTGTGTCCTTGAAAAGTTGTGTACAAGATTCCCTTCGATATTTTTCCCTTAGGAGTTTGTTACGCTTAGTGAATCATTAAGAATTGCTTCAGAAGTTGCAACTCTTAGTTTTTGTCTGTTTTTTTATAGGCTGAAGGGGATGCTAAAGGAGATAAAGCCAAGGTGAAGGACGAAGTAAGTCTTCTCACTTTTGGAGTCTCACAAAGCCTTGGGCTCCTTTAGTGATAGTTAACCATATCCTTAGTCCTGAATTTTCCTAAGTAAGTTCTCTTCAGTTCATATTGTCTAGAACAAATTGGCACCAAAACTTTTTTTAAGTGGCTCAACTGTCCTATTTGTAATTTATTTATTTTTTTTTAATAGCCACAGAGAAGATCGGCAAGGTTATCTGCTGTAAGTATATCTGCTTTTAAATTTTCATATTTATCTCTGAAACTGAGAAGCATTGAAAAACGATTCCCTTTATTTCCCATGAATTATGTTCAGTGGTTGGTATTGAATGACTTTGCTTTGGACTCTTGCCCATTTGGAATTTGCTGGTTCTGAAATTGTGATGACTGTATCCAAAGGGGGACACTTGAATATTACTTGAGTGGGCTTCCGAAGATAGGAAGTTTTAATGGAAAGCCTGCCACAGACTTTACAAAGTAGGAGAAACTTATGTGCCAGTGGTACTGTGGTTTGGTTGTGGATTGTCTTCTTTGGTCCATTGTACTAATGTTCTTTTTCCTTTCTTTCCCCCAAATAAAAGAAACCTGCTCCTCCAAAGCCAGAGCCCAAGCCTAAAAAGGCCCCTGCAAAGGTGAGCAGGACAGTGAAACACGTGTGTCTAGGAGTTACATAAAAGCCTGAGCGCATCTGTTGGCACAAAGTGAGATATATGACAAAAGTTAGTAGGACTGGACCTTAACTAAGAACTTGGTCATCAATTTATAGAAAACTCTGCGCTTGCGTTTTAAACACTCCAGCATTTAAGCTGTCTTGTTCTTTTATCATTTATGCTCAGATAAAAATTTTTGTATATTGAAGACCACAGCAAATTATAGATAATTTGGGCTAGTTTTGATGAGTTGTTGTTTTTTTATCATTGGGGGAGGATGTGTAGTTTATCAGTGTCTTATCTATGATAGATAATTCTACCTTGTACAGAGCTTGGCAGACTGTATCCTGGTGATTTGAAACAATAAACAGATCTTTTTTCCCCCTCCACCCATTTTAGAAGGGAGAGAAGGTACCCAAAGGGAAAAAGGGGAAAGCTGATGCTGGCAAGGATGGGAATAATCCTGCAGAAAATGGAGATGCCAAAACAGACCAGGTATAACTTATTTTGCTTTTTCATTGTGCGTTTTAGTCCAGCGTTTGCTTCTCTTTTTTTCTGAGTTTAAATCTGGATTCTTGAAAGAGTCTGCCATCCAATAAAGAGAGCTGTTGTGTGAGATCTTCGTCCTGTCTTTAGGTGTCACACTCATGCTACACCATAGTTTTCAAGCCGGGAATAACCTCAGATCTTATAATGTTGATGTGTGCCCTCTTCTCCAGTTTTATAGTAAGGTCCAGATGGGGAGGTGACCTACAAAGTTATTTTCAAGAGAAGTACTGAGTCTCAGTGTCAAAGTACCTAAAACCTCAACTTTGGCTTGGGGGCAGGATAATGGTATAAATGAAACATGAATGAAGATAGTTACATCTTGTATTAATCTGTCTATTTTTCTTTTAGGCACAGAAAGCTGAAGGTGCTGGAGATGCCAAGTGAAGTGTGTGCATTTTTGATAACTGTGTACTTCTGGTGACTGTACAGTTTGAAATACTATTTTTTATCAAGTTTTATAAAAATGCAGAATTTTGTTTTACTTTTTTTTTTTAAGCTATGTTGTTAGCACACAGAACACTTCATTGTTGTTTTTTGGAGAAGGGCACATGTCGCTAATAGAATGTCTCCAAAGCTGGATTGCTGGGGGAAAAACACCTCTCCTGTCTAGTATTGAGAGACTGCCTCTTGGTTCCCAGGAAGGAGGGATTCCTTGATGTTGACACACATTAGCCATCTTGGCACACACGCCTTATGGTGTGGAAAAACTAAAATTAGTTTTTATGTCCTCTTCTCCCTCTCCTTCAGCATAGACTTGACTCCCTTGAACCCAGAGACCTGTTGGGACCGGACCCCAAAAATTGGTTATCAGTAATGTCGGGCAATCTGGACTTACAGTGTCACCATTGAGATGGCATCCCTCAAAAGAGCAGCAGTTCCTTTTTTAGATTGTGGATCTTCAGATTGATAATTCTGACATTTTCATTTCCATTTCCTGAAAGTCAGGGTCGGCTTGTGAAAAGTTGTTAAACAACATGCTAAATGTGAAATGTCAACCCTCACTCTAAACTTTCCCTGTTCAGAGCATCACATGAAGACTTCATTGGGTTTTATAGTGGCTTTCTGATTTTGGTAGTCCATTGAAAAAGGGAGTTTGAAAGTTGTTGTATACTGTTAACGATTGTCTGCCCATGTCCTGCCTGAAATACCATGATTGTTTATGAAAAGTATCTTTAATAAAGCTGGATACAGTTTGGCTTGGAATGCTGCTTCTAATCTTTTCCCAGGAGTGGGGGAGCCTGGTTTCTCCAGGTCTCTTGGGACAGGATGCTTTTTGGTGTGAGGTGTAGAGATTCCATGTTCAGTCAATCTTTATAGTCCATCTGTAGAACACAGTGCTATGTGAAGTTAGGAAAGATCCCAGGAGTGGACAGATGGTGAGATGCTGGGAGCAGAGAAGTGGTTTCTGTGTTTTGCAGCACTCCGTGAAGCGTATTTTTAAGTGCAGATTTTTGGTTGATCTGAGGGTTTGGCCTGGTAGCTATCAGTAAAAGGGCCTCCATTTCATTCACATTGAAGACCTCTGTAATATTAGTAAATTAATAGATAAGGCTCTAGTTCTTGTTTGAGGAGAAAGTGCTTCTTTGTCTACACAAATGGCCATAAGATCTATAAGGCAGATGGCACCCTGCTCTCCTGCAAATTAGTTAAATTCTTGTCCTTGACGGTCACCTGCTCTGTACCAGAAACAAAAGTGTTAATGGGGACTTTTCTGATTGCTTTAGTTTAGAGACCCTGCAGAAAACCTCTTTCCTCTAGGAAGCAAGAAGTTATCTGTTAGGAAACAGAACTTGTAATAAGTTGATGCTTGCAATTTGGATTTGCTTTCAGCTCTGTTGTTTGAGGGGAGTAAAGTAAGTTGGAGACTGAAAAAAAAACCTTGCTTTGTTTATCTCTTTAATCAAAAAGGTGGAGCTTTTATATCAGGTAAGCTCTTCCTTGATAAGTTTTCTATAGATTATCTCCAATCTTCAGTTTTGAGACAATTGTGTAATGTAAGCGTTAACACCCTTTTTACAGATGAGGAAACAGCTCAGATGAAGAAACCTATCCAGGGTATGTGCACATCTAAAGAAAAGCGGTTATGTGTACATCTCACGAGTAGCAAGGTCCCAGTTCAAACCCCCAACTTTAGTGAAAAATAATTTATGACATTGACTTCTTTTAGGGGGCACATTTTGGGTAAAGTAAAATTTGCCCAGTTAGGCAATTTCCAGGCATTTACCTCTTGTTATTGCTGAAATATTTCTAGGCTATAAGTTGTTAGTTTTTATTTAGGGATGGTGTCATCTTCCAGAGTGGAGCCCATTACAGCTGTTAGAAGTAGGGATGTGGCAGTTTGATATTTGCCCAGAAGTTGCAGAATTTGAGAAAGCCACAGCTGGGGCTACCTTGTCAGTATAAGAGTTCAGATTGTTGAGATGTGTTGAGCCGTGGACCATGGTAGGAGTTTTTCCACATGATCTCATTTAATCTTTGGATCAATCCTGTGTAGTGACTAGCTGAGGTTATACTCAGTAGTAATCATCTTTTTCTGTTACCTAGAAATTAGGATGAGTAGGGTGAGCTTAGACTTTTTTCTCCTTCCTGGAAAATACTGATTCGACTGGCTGTGGACCATTAGAATGCTTGGTTTACACTCGGGACCAAAATCAAGAAGCCAGACATGAAAACCTGGTATGAACATTTAAGATAGCCATAATAGCATGATCAGTGGCAGTCCTGACCTGGATTAAAAATAATCTCAGAATAATTTCATAAAATAAGATAATATAGAAACAGATTCCCTTCCCTTTAGCCCTGTCTCCAAGTCTATTTGGGATGAGCTGCCAATAACCTGCATTTGGGTGCTTTAAGTAAAAGAAATAAAATGGCTTAAACAGCAGAGGTTTTATCTCCCTAAGAAGAGTCCTGGGAGTGGTTCTAAGGACCCAGATGGTTTTTTCCAACTTCGCTGCTCTCAGAATGTCCAGCCCTATCTCATCCAAGTCAGCTTCTCCAGACCTCAACTTGATATTAATGTTCAGAGACGGAAGAGCTGTTAATTCACTTTTTCTCCTTAAGAATAATGAATTATTTCCCAGAAGCCCCTCAGCTTGTGTTTGGGCAGAAGTAGATCACCTGCCCAATCATGGCAAGAGGGATGGGACCACAAAATCCGTTTAGGATTCAGCCAGAATTATTGGAATTAATTAGGAGGAGGGATAGATTATGACAGAAGAAGGAAAGGACTGTTGAATAGACAATCTTTCCTGCTACACTCAGTTCCTGTGTTGTCTCTAGGACTCGCCTTGCCTTGCTTGACTGCAGCTTTTTTTTTTTTAACTTATTTTTTTTAATTTTTTCATTTTTTAGGTGGGGAGGGAGATAATTAGGTATATTTGGTTTATTTATTTTTAGAGGAGGTACTGGGGATTGAACCCAGGACCTCGTGCACGCTAAGCATGCACTCTACTACTTGAGCTATACCCTCCCCTTGACGGAGCTTTTGACTGCTGAGCACAAGTCCCCCCACCTTTATTTAAGTTGAGAAATAAGTCACACACCATAAAACTCACTGTCTTAAAGCATGCAGTTGAGTGGGTTTTCTTACATTGACAAAGTTGTGCGATAATCACCACTAATTCCAGAGTGTTTTCATCACTCCAAAGAGAACCCCCATACCTACTAGTCATCCCTCATTCCCCCAGGCCTAGGCAATGGCTTTCAGGGCTCATCTACATTGTAGCATGTATTTCATTCCTTTTATTGCCAAATACCCATTGTATGGTTATACCATATTTTATGCATTGATGAGTTGGATGTTTAGATTGTTTCTACTTTCTGGCTATTAAGAATACTGCTGTGAGTGTTGTGTGCAAGTTTTTGTGTAGGCATATGTTCAGTTCTTTTGGGCACATATCTAGGAGTGGAATTGCCTGGTCATAAGGTATCTCTTAATGTTGAACTTTTTGAGGAACTGAGTGACTTCCACAGCAGCCGTGCCATTTTACATTCCCACCAGCAATATACGAGGGATCCAATTTCCCCATGTCCTTGTCAGCACATTTTTCTGTTTTATTATAGGCATCTTGGTGGGTATGAAATGATATTTCATTGTGGTATTGATCTGTATTTCCCTGGTAACTAGGATGTTGAGCATCTTTTTATGTGCTTCTGACCATTTGTGTATGTTTTTTTGTGGATCCTTTACCCATTTTTAATCGGATTATTTATCTTTATTGTTGAGGCATAGGGGTTCTTTATATATTCAGGATACTAGATTCTTTATTCTCTCCCATCCTGTGGGTTTTCTTCACTTATTTGATAGTGTCCTTTGCCCAGTGGTTTTTTATTTTGATGAAGTCCAGTTTATTTCATTTTTGATTGCTTGTGCTTTGGTGTCATATCTAAATCCATTACCTAGTCCAAGGTCTTAAGATTTACACCTGTGTTTTCTAAGAGTTTTAAATAATTTTAGCTATTAAATTTAGGTCTTTGGACCATTTTGAGTTAATTTTTGTATATCGTGAGAGGTGTACATCCAGGCATTCCCTCCTTTTAAACCTCTTGACCTCTCTCTGGGCCTTCCATTTTTCTAAGACACCATTTGTCTAAGCCTTTGCTTTGTGAACACTGAGGCCCTGTTGAGACCCCCTTCTCTACCGTTTCTCCTATGATGTCATCCAGTGACTCACATTTTCATCTCCCATCCACATCTTTTGAGTTAACTATTCCCACCAACTCCTGTGCAGTCCCACGTAGATGTACCACAGGCACCCCAAATTCAGCATGACCAAAATGGAACTCATCTTGTTCTTCATAAACCCACCTCCCCTGCTGGTCCCAGTGCCACCATTCACCCATTCCATCCCTCAAGCAAGAATCCTGAAAGTTACCACAGATACCTCCTTCCCTCTCCATCATCACACATTTCCAGTGAGTGCCTAAATCATGGTTACTTGACTTTGGGAAAAAATTTTTTTTTGTCATGGGAAATTTCAAATATGTTCAAAAGTAGAATAATGTAGTAAAACCCCATGTACCTGTTACATAGCTTCAGTAATTATCAACTCGTGCCAGTCTTATACTACTGTCTCTTTATTCCTCTTACCATAACCTGATATCATTGCATTCATAAATATTTCAGTATATATCCTTAAAGGATATGGACCTTTAAAAATACACAGTCATACCATTAGCATAACCAAAAACATAAATTCCTTAATATGAAATGTTCAAGTTCTTAAATTTCTAATTGCCTAAATGTCTTTTTTTTTTTAAGTAATTTATTTATTTGAAAATCCAAACAGGGTCTCATATTATAATTGGTTGGCATATTTCTTGGAATCTCTTTGAGCCTATAGGTTCCTCTCCGTATCTTTCCCAGTTTGGATTTTGCTATTATAGTTCTGTGATGTCATTTAGTAAGTTTCTCTATCCTTTGTATTTCATGTTAATTAGACCTAGAGGTGTGATTGGATTCAGATTTAGTGGCAAGAAAACCTCATAAATGATGTTATATGTGTTTATCAGGAGACATCATGTCTGATTGTCTCCTTTTATATGTTGCAGCCGTTGAAGTTCAGTGCCTAGATCCAAGGTTGCAAAATGGTAATATTCTCATTTTACCATTCCTCCTCCTCATAATACCTGATGTACCACTCTAGAGAGAAACTTTAATTTATTGGTTCTTTGGTTACCCAGAATTACAGTTCACTTTGGAAAAAGAGGATAAATGTCCAGATCTTTTGCCAATTTTTAAATAATGAGTTGGTTTACTCGCATCCTCCAAAAGTGACAGGTGGGTTGTTTTTTATATTTTTAGTATCATGATTAGTAAAACATACGTGTATTTCATTTCATTTCATTGCAGTTGTTAAACTCAGTGATGCCCAAATTGTCATTTTTGCCCTCTCCAAGTTGGCTCCTTTGTCCTTTTGATACAACCCTTTTGATAGTAGTTATTTGGTAACTTCCTTGCTATATCTCGTATGATAGTTTTCTGGATTTGTCTTGTACATTTCCTGTTCTGGAGTCAGCTGTTTCTAGGGGTGGAGGGGGGAATAAAATCCCTCATTCCTTTTAGTGGTGAGTGGTAAATCTAGGCTCTAGAATGCCCATTGCTGTTGTTTTGGTCATTGTTTCTAGGCCTTTTTGATGCGCAGAGCTAAGACACAGCACTGAGAATCTCAGTTCTCTTTTGTACCCTAAATTATAAAATT